TGTTCAGGTATTGCAGAAAATAGCAGGCGACGAAAACGGGTCAGTAGAGACAGCACTTTTATCTATAGATGGCGAACAAACATTAAGTTTTGTCGCTTCGTGGATTGGTACGATACAATGGATAGGCGAAAGCGAAATACGCAAAGACCATAAACGAAAGAATTGGTTTATTGGCATTTTTGTAGTGGAAAGTGCTGATAATGTTGAAGTTAAGGATACGGATATTTCCTATCAAGCTATGCGTAGTTCAGGTGCAGGAGGACAACATGTCAATAAGGTCAGTTCTGCGATCCGAGCAACTCACCTTACTACGGGAATACAAGTGGTAGCCATGGATAGCCGCTCACAACATCAGAACAAAAAATTGGCTTACGAACGTCTCTTAGTGAAAATCCGTGAGAAACATTTGGAATCCTTAAAAACCAATGAATTGACTCAATGGAAAAACCAAATGCAGATAGAGCGTGGCAATCCAGTAAGAACATTTCGTGGTTCCGATTTCAAAAAAATGAAAGTAGAAAAGGGATATAAATCCCAAAGGTTAAATTTAAAAAATGAGTTAAAAAATGAGTTCGATAGATAAATATTTAGTTAAGGCCTTAGATGCCTATCCGTACAACCTAGAAGAAGCCATAGAATCTCTCGATTATGCTTTATCTGGTGACAACAACAACGCTGCAACACTCTGTCTATATGGCAGGGTGTATGCAGAACAGTTGCAAGATTATGCCACTGCAAAAACATATTTCCAAGATGCATTAGCAGCAGATATCAAGGCTGTTTTTGTATATCCATACTTTATACAACTTTTGATAGATTTTGACGAAGATATGGAAGCAGAAAAGTTGATAGATTTTGCATTGACTATCAAAGGAATAGACAAACCTTTGATTATTTCAAAACTTATCTTGTTAAAGGAAAAAATGGCTCAATACAAAGAAGTAAAAAAATGGATTGGCAATTTGAAATCAGTCGTTTTAAATGATGGTTATCAGACATTTATGGATAAAACGGAGGCTAGAATTAAGGCGAAGAGTAAAAAAGTTGGGAAGAAGAAGTGATAAAACTTATATAAGATGTAACCATCTACTTTCTTAACCATTTTCAACTAGTAGCCCAAGCTTTATCTCCTTTTTTGTAAGGGTAACTTCCGTCATATTTACCTGGAACTGCTATGTAATTAAGTGCCTTCGTAGCACCGATTTCTGATGAGAAATAACCCAATATTGTAAGTTGTTTCATCATTACAAAATAGTGTTCTGGGTCTTCATATTTTTTGGCTTTTCTATATGCTATGGCTTCTACATTTACATTATTTAAAAATGCTGTCTTTTGATCTGCATTAGTACTTGTAAATGAAGTAGAATATTTTGTTTCAAAGCTTTGTTTGATATTTTCCAACCCTTCTATAAAAATTTTCTGTTCTTCAGTACTGTAACAGTCGGTCACCATTTTATGCATAAAAGCACCAATATTTGTTGACTTGGCACCAGGACTATCTGTTTGTGGTATGATGGTTTCACCTATTTCATCTAGCAGCGCTATTTGATCATTTGTTAATAATGCTTTTGTAGTCTGTGCATCTGTTTTGCATCCTGATTGAATAAATATTTGGCCACCTACAAAGGCCGCACCTGTCAAGATCGATATTTGTTTTATGATTGTTCTCCTGTCCATGATTGTAATTATAGATTTTGTTTTTTTAATTCACTGAAAGCGTAATCTGCTGCTCGTGCGGTCAATGCCATATAGGTCAAAGAAGGATTTTGACAAGCGCTACTCGTCATGCAAGCACCATCTGTTACAAATACATTTGAGGCTCCCCAAACTTGGTTATATTTATTTAAAACAGAGTTTTTAGCATCCGTTCCCATTCTAGCTGTACCCATTTCGTGAATACCAATTCCTGGAGATTTTTCTCTATCATCATAGGTAGAAACATTTTTCAAACCTGCGGCTTCTAGCATATTAGCAGCTTCATCTTTCATTGCTTTACGCATTTTGAGGGCATTTTCGCCCCAACCTGCATCAAATTCAACTACTGGCAAGCCCCATTTATCTTTTTGGTCTGTCAATACCATTCTGTTATTTGCATCTGGTAAAGTTTCGCCAAAGCCCATCATACCAAAGCTCCATGGGCCTGGTTCGGTCAATGATTCTTTGAAATCTGCTCCAAAACCATCTTGGTCGCCACCACGATTCCATCCTGAGCGACTAGCACTACCTTGATAACCAAAACCACGTAAGAAATCACGTTTATCACTTCCCCAGTTGGTAAATCTCGGAATATAAATACCGTTGGCTCTACGACCATAATAATACATATCTTCAAATCCTTCCCAATCTCCAGAAGCCCCTACTCCTAAATGGTGGTCCATGATATTTCTGCCTAATTGGTCAGACGCATTACCCAAACCATTTGGATGCGTTTTTGATTTTGATTGCATTAATATCGAAGCTGAATTAATGGCTGAG